GGACTACTCATTGGGGAAAGCCATCATGGTCCCTGATCTCACAGTGCTGACCACCCAACAGGGGAGAGAGACTCATCAGTCACAATTGACCAGGGGATCCAACAACAATGCCAAAGCCCACCATATGCCAATCACATCTCTTCTCAGTCTGGCATTTGTTGGCCTCAGTAAGATGATCTCCTCTTTCCAAGCCTTCCCTCCCCTGCTGACTCAGAAGCAAACACCATGCTCTGTGCTTCCTACACCTGACCTTTCAGTGTCTTCCCATTTCAATCCGCCACACCCCTGGCCCCCCACTCTAATTATTGCAATGCTTTCCTTGAGACACCAGCACACACTCATCACGTCCTTCCCTTCTTTCCCCTGCCACTTAGCATTGGCACCCTCAATTTGTCTGTGGATTATGGCTTGGTTTTTACAACTTTCTCTAATTGTTTGAAGTGTGAAAACATTACTGTCTTCTTATGCCAAGTTCATAAAATTGCTCTAATCTAGGGAAGAAGATAAACCCCAAATCTGGATGCCAGTAGTCACTCTGGTCTATACTGCAGAACACTCACCGTTCCAAGGGCAAATATGCTACCTGCTCAACAGCTTTTAGCTCATCTGTTCTTCACACAAGTCTGTGCCACTTAGGAATGCTTTTGGCTGAAAATAACAGAAGGATTCACACTATCTAGCAAGAGCTTAAACAATATTAACTTATTATTACCTCATAGAATAACAGCACCAGAACAGAAATTGGCTGTAGGTGGTTGCTGGTATTGGCGGGGTCAGGACTCTGGCTTGGTATCTATGACTCTCTTGGCTGAGCTCCACCAGGGAAGCATGGTTGCATCATCTCCTGGCATCAGATGGTCACACAGTCAAATGGTCAGAGAGTAGGACAGTAGAAAATGTGCCCTGGAAAATGTGCTCTTGTTCATTATCAGCACAGATAAAGAAGGAGATGACTTTCAATTGGGGCTCACAGGTTTTGAAGAAATTGGACAGGCATGAACACATATTGCCAAATTCTCCAGTTTCTGAGTGACGTCATCTCTCCAATAGATTTCTCAAATTCTGCCTTTACACCAGGCATTTCTATTTTTAGTGAGATCTGAGAAAATGTTGAATCACTCAAAGGATTGGAGAGTCAAGAACAGCTCTGTGGGAGGGGCAGAGCTTTATAAAACCGGGCTTCACTGTGGCTAACCTATGACAACTCCCCAAGGAGCGGCTCCTGTCAGACAATACCTCTGAGAAAATCCAGGTACTTCAGCAATTTCCATAGCCCTGCCTAAGGGGAACATAGATTCATTTTCTTCTCTTCTTTATACTGGGATTGTTAATACATTTAAAATGAAAAGTTTAGAGGGTGTGTAAAATTTTAGTGGTGCCTTCTTGTTTGGTTTGCTTGTTTTACTGAAAGTATTTTAGCTCAAGGTTTTCCTAATATACATAGGAAGGCTTAAATTTGAATTTCAAATGCCAGCAAGTGCTGCCACATGGTTCTAATGAACCTAAAATGCACATTCCAGGTGAAATCTCCACGTAAGGAAACAGGTTAGAATATGCGCGGTACTGGGTGCTGTTTTGACATTTAATTTGGGGACAATGTCTAAATAAATGAGAATTAAAACATTTCCATTTAGGTTATCGAAAAGAACCTATAAATTGCTTATAAACCAAAGGCAAAGATGACCATGTTTTCATCTAAGAAGAACCATGAAACCTGGAGAAATTCAGCAGCCCTTGAGGTTGGGGCAGCCAAGTTCTAGAATCTGTTCAATTAACTGAGTTCAATTCAGTGAAGTTAATTCCGTGGCAGAGACACACCAGTTGTTGTGTTGACTGAAGTGAAGATCCCATTTGAGAAAAGGTCTAATAACACATAAGCAGACAATTGTTCACGATGGAAGTCACTGAGTCAAAGAAACGAGTTATGCATATGTGTGAGGAACCTGGTGATTTGGGATGAGACATTTTCATAAATGGATTGTTTTTCTGAAGTGCTCATCGTTTGCTGTGGTCAATTTCCAAGTATGTGCACTGCGTGGTTACAAAAAGATTTTCTTTTCATTCTAATTGTTAGATCCAACTGACAGCTAACATCCAGATCCACAGAGAGAGTGACAAGGGCCACCGGCAGGGCCCCATTTCAGTGGCACTCCTGCTTCCTTGTGTTGCGGAAGTGGCACAAACATTGGGAAGGCTAGCCCTAAGATGTGGTTTCATCCCATCCTTCCCCAAAACAATATGAAACGTTCATTAGGAACTTCATATTTGGAAGTCAATGAAGTCTGGCAACTTATGACTCTGTGAAGAAATTTCCAACAGGTCCTACCTGTTGTGGGAGATACTGGCCTATGGCATTACTCCATGGCGTCCTTTTTACATTGCTTAGACAGGTTCCCACGGTGGCCACAGAATCCCCAAATACAGCCGTTTGGTCTGAGGATCAGGACCCATGACATACCTGTGACTTCATAGATTTCTAAGACTATGACTTCCTGGAATCTCAGAAAAGTTTGTAGGAAAAGCTCTAGTCTTGGTATCCCAAGGCTGAGATCCAGTCTAGACTCTGAAACCTGCTAGCTATGCAACTTACATCTCTGTAGTTTTATTGGTACAACAGGAACGACTAGGCTTTCTTGGGAAAATAAGTATGCCAATTAAAAAATGTAACTAAAAAAATTGATAACTGCAGCATATACTGTCAGATATTGTTTTTTGTTTTTGTTTTAATGTCAAATCAAGTTGTAGCACCTTATATTGCTATATACAATTTAAGCTTTTATATTTGTTATGTTTGAAATGAACTTGGAAGTCATTAAATACTCCAAGTCCACCTCAGTTTTACTTTTCCTCCTTTTGTAGTCACTCAGACAGATAGACCTGCAGAGGAAGGACTCTGGAGGGCTAACCTCTTTTTTGAAAGAACTAACTGCATCTGAGATCATCTTGTTCTGTCTGATTACCTTTGTTCTAAATGAGTCACCTGAAACCCAACTTGACTGTAAGCGCTCTGAAATTTTCTCTTGACACTTCAGTTTTTTCTGTGGCAAAGTGAACGTTGAATTCTGCAGCTTAATGTACTTTACTAACTCTGATTTCTTATTTACATTTCCATGCAGGAATACAGAAATCTCATTTGTGTTATTAATACTCTAAAGTTTCTAAAGACAGCATTGTGACAATTGATCAATAAGGACGTATACAATCAGGCTGATTAATTATAAAGACAGTTTTTAATTAGGAAAAGAAAGAAGAAACAAATACCTGAGCCACCCAAGTTAACTCACCTTTTACAATGTAACAAGGGAAATGCAATAGTGATTTTTTGTTTTTGTTTACTTATTTACTTAACAAACCTTTTAGGAAGATAGCAGGCTTGCCACTTTCCTCTTTTCATTTCCTCTTTTTAGCATTTCTCAAGCTGGTATAACTTGCTGAAACTCTTACACGAGGTAGTAGCAGCAGGAAGTGTGGGGCTTTGGAAAGGGTTGTTTCCTTAGACAGAGCTGGGCGTGAAGCTATGTGATCTTGTGCATGTGACCTAACATCTTCGAAATGGACAGAATGACATTGATCTCCTATCAATCCTGGGAAGATTATGGAGACAAGAGACAAGTTTCACTCGATTGACTATTTTGCCTCGATAAAATACCATTTGGAATGAGACCTTTTGATACCCATTGCAATTACCTTCTGAAAAAGTCAGAATTCACTGACCAGGTGGTCGCAGGAGGCATCCGTGGATTAGGGTATAGAGCCCAGCTGTAGATAGCCTTGTCCTGGAGACTCCCAGCACACACCCCCACCCAACTCTGGGAAGCCACTCTCATAAGAGATTTCCCAGGGAACGATGAGTGTCACCATTGTTTGGTATATTTATAGATTTTGATAATTATAGGGCTTGTTTCAGGCCACTATGAAAGAATAACACACGGCCAAAAGCATGGTCATTAGTCACACCAACCGATAACCCACCGCCCATGGGTGTATCCAACTATCTAGCTGCACCCGGAGCCATAGGCCATAAACACATCATGCCTGTCTATGTCCAGATGACTGATAAATCTAGGGTACATGTTGCATATCCTTAGATTGTCCTTCCAGTGCTGTGTGACAATGACAGTCCCTAAAGGGTGGGTGGCTGTCCCTAAGGGCTGCTAGGCTATCCCTGAACTCACATCAGTGAACATCAAAAGCCCAAAGTCCCCAGCATGAGAAGTCCTTCTATAGCAAGTGTGTGAGATCTGGGGGAGGGTACGAACCTTCCAACAATCGGCTTAAATCACTTCTAGAATTAGGGGAGTTGAAAAAAGATTGTGGCCAACGAGGACATATATGCATGTGACATACATTTGGCTACGATGGTGTCTGCCTGTGAGGAAGGGTGTGTCGTGGTACACGGTCTGTGGTGGGTGCAGCACAGAGATTGAAAACATACTGGAACTGCCTGCTTAGCGTCCGTCCTTGGCTCTGCCGATTACAGTTGAGTGACGTTGGTCAATGTTCTAAACTTATCTCTAGCAGTTTCTTTCCCTGTAAAGCAGGTACAGCAGCACCTTCCTCATAAGTTTCTGGTGAGGATTCAATGGCTCGTCCAGGCAAAATGCGTAGAACGTAGAACGTGCCTCCTTATCAGGAAGAGTGCAATAATTGCTGTCATTGTCACCATTGTTACATGGAGTGCCCTCAAGTGTCACTACACCTCACACCACTTTTCACCAGCTCCCCAGTTACATAATGTCCAGGACCTCATGTTTAATGATATTATGCATACCAGGAAGTGATAGCAGAGCATTCCACCAAGGGTAGGAACCTGGAGACGCACACTGGTCACCTGACCAGAAAGCCAGGTCTGCTTTTCCTCATTCTGGGCCACGGAGGAAGAACAGAGGGAACCCTTCCTAGACAGGGTGCACCCTCGACTTTTCTGCCGACCTCACCCAAACTACTGAGTTGCCTTTGAAAGCTGAGTCCTCTTCCTCATTTCCTTCTAGATCGAAAGAATGGAGGACCTTTATGTGGCAAACACCATCTTTGCCCTCAATTTCTTCAAGCATCTGATGGAAACGACCCCCACCCAGAATCTCTTCTTCTCCCCATGGAGCATCTCGTCCACCATGGCCATGATCTACCTGGGTGCCAGGGGCAACACGGCCGACCAAATGGCTCAGGTGAGTTCGTGTTGAAGCTTGGCATTACGGCCACGTGAGTCCTGAATTGGTGGGATTGCTCTTACTTTATATTCAGGACATCAGGGTCATAACAAGTCGGTGACCATAATGTGCTACTAAAGCAGCCACTGTGACGACACGAAGGAGCCCTGAGGGAATCACAAGATCCACAGTTTGAACCCCTCATTTGCTCCATGGGAGAAAGATAAGGCTGTTTGTTCCTGTGAAGATTTAAAATCTTAGAAGCCCAAAGGGGCAGTTCTACTAGGTTCTATAGGGATGCTATGAGTTGGATTCCACTCAAGTTCATTCATATCCATAGATGTGTAGAGAAACACGAGAATTGAAGGCTTTCAAGCCCAGATCCTGATGTCCCCCAAGCACTGTGTTTTGGGACACACCAAACTGCCCTGGTTACTTTCCATTTTCCCACGAGATTGTACCTGGATAAAGATACCTCTTTCCAGGGACATGGTGACCCATTTACAAAGGGCCTTTTTTGAGCCAAAGGCATTTCAGAGAGAGGATGTTGGCCAATCTTGCCATGGGAGGAGCCCCGATGGTGCCTCACTCCCGTGCTCATGGCAGTTGACACAGAGGCCCAATTGCTCAACACTTTGCAGGCCTCTTTCCCCTTTGGTTTCTCTGCCGCAGAAAGAACAGTGAGCAAATTATTGACAGCATTTTACAAAAATGGGGCGTTGGCTTTTCAAATGTGAAGAAGATGTATGTTTTGTTCGTTGTCAACACAATTTTTACATGAACATGTTGGTCATTTGGAGTGCAATACAGCTTTTCTGTAGAGTGTGCTTGGAGCCCTGGAGAATATTCAAGAAGTTTATTAAGTCTCCTTACAAATATTCTTCAGTCAAAGGCTAATATATTGCCCCCCCCCCCTAAAAAGTGAGGAGAAGAGCTATTCACTGGTGCAGGAGGCAGGACCTGTGGGCACAGACTTTTCTGTCTTGGAGTCCTGACTTTCCCATTGGCTAGACTTGAACAAGAGCATGGAAACCCTGAGCCTTAGCTGCTTCATTGATAAAAGAAAATGAAAATCCACCCTCTACAAGACAGTTATGAAGAACAGAGATGATATATAATACACTGCAAGTCATAGTGGCAAGAGTCGCCAATACTTATGAATGCCTCTGCCAGTCGTTTTGGAGCTTTTTATGGATCTGCTGTCATAATAGTCACAAAATCCTGTGAGATAGGTGCTATTCCAGATCAATTTATAGATAAAGGGATTAAGGGATTAGGGCAGGAGAGACCACGCAGTTGGGACTTGGCACTGCTGGTAGAGGTAGTTGGTACTTGGACTTGGTGGAGGTAGTAGAGTTGGTGTAAGCAGAGAAGCATACATAGAAGGTATAGACTCCAAGATCAGTGTGTCAGTAAGATTCTTTTCCCCAGTTCTTTTGCCTAGGTCTAGGCCACAGTCCTGCCCTCTACGACTTGCTATGTGTTCTGCATCTTCAGCATGGCTGGGGCCATCTTGAATGCCCACCCTGCAGAGTCATTACCCTGGCCTTTGCAGGGGCTCAGGGAAGCATCTTGGCACTCAGGCACCCTCCTGATAAGCAGCAGCATTTCTTAAGAAAGGAGTCTCGGTGAGTCAATGGTTAAATGTTTGGCTACCAACCAAAAGGTGGGTTTGAACCCACCAGCGACTCCCTGGGAGAAAAGATATAGAGGTTTTCTCCTATAAAGATTACAGCCTTGGAAAGCCTATGGGCAGTTCTGCTCTGAGTCACTATCAGTTCCACAGCACACAACAACAGCCACAACACCGGAGGATAACCAGAGACACAGTTACAGGACCGATCAACTCTACATGTGGGGGCAGAAGGAGCCACCCAAAAGCTTTCTATGAACCCAAACATCTCTACTGTCAAGCCTGGGACTTCTCTCGACACTGACTAGACACATTTGTGTTTAGTGGATTGGCACAACCTCAACCATTGATCTACTTAGGAGATTAGAAATTTCTCAACGTGGACCTATGGGGATGTGCTACAGGACTAATATGTCCCAAAGGACATTGTGGGAAGTCCTGAGAGGCTGGGTCAAGCTGCAGTACTGAGACTAACTGGTTCTTACTGGGAGAAGGGGTTGAGAATCAGCATCATAGGGTTGTCTTAGTTTTCTAGTGCTGCTGTAACAAACACCACAGCTGAATAGCTTTAATAAACAAAATAATTTGCTCACAATGCAAGAGCCTAGGAGATTGGATTGAGGGTGTTAGCTCTGGAGGAATCTATTCTCTCTGTGTTGGCTCTGGAGGAAGATCCTTGTCTCTGAGCGTTGGCTCCTGGGCCATCTTCATGTGACTTGGCATCTCTCTTCCTCCATCTCTGCTGTGAAGCTTGGCCTAATCTTCCCTTTTCACATGTTGTAAGATATCGACTCACCTCACACCCTGCACGAATCCTGCCTCATTAACGTTGCAAAGACAAGCCAGTCCCAAATGGGATCATAACTATAGGAGTGGAGGTTAAGTTTACAACACCAACTCTGATTTTGTAGGGACATGATTCAATTAATAACAGGGGCCAGAGTTCACCATCTCTGCCTGTCACAAACCAAAGAGGCTCATATGGACAATAATATTGTAACACCCTGCCCCGCCCCCATGGAAATTAGTTTCTCTATGCCTGAGCACAGGGAGAATGTAAATTACTTTGAGATCCTAGTTACCATTGCCTGGCCCTTTGTCAAGCTTAAGGTGACTTTGACTTGAGAGATTTTGACAGGTAGAAATGTATGGATATGTACAACTATCGAATGTAAACTTTTAAGATCTCAAGTTATCCTTATTATTGTCTTTAAAACCTTAGTGTTTTATCCAAGTAATTTATGGATTAAATGGTAATTTATGAAAGAACTATAAACTGTCACATCTCACTGCCATCGAGTCGATGGTGACTCAGAGTGATGGCCCTGAGGGTTTCTGAAACTGTAATTGTTTACTGGAGTAGAAAGCCCCACCTTTCTCCTGGAGCTGGTTTCTCCTGAGAGGTGGTTTCCAATTGCTGACCATGTGGCCAACTCATAACCCTGCACCACCAGGACTCCTAATTAGTCATAAATCATTGGCCAAATTGGCCAGATGCAAA